TGGAGCTAATGCTTTTGACAAAGGGTCTGTTTGACGTTTTGTGAGTGTTGAAGATGCTCACCTGAGGTTTTTGTTGTTTGACAGAGTTTGGGCGTTACTCTGGTCGGGTGAGGTTCGAGAACAGCAACCCCATCAAGAACTCTGCTCTGATCATCCTGAACACAGAGCAGTCGGACGAGGGCAGCTACACCTGCCATATCTCCACCTTCCCCAGTGGAAATTTTGAGAAGAAGATCGCCCTCACCGTCTGGAGTAAGACTCATCATCCTTTCTGTCTCTCTCTCTTTTTAATCTTCTCGCCCAAATGTCCCTAATCCTGAGAGAGCTGCTGTAATGATGTTTACACCATCATATCTTCATAGAGGAACTGGTGACTGGGGGAATTCAGAAGGTGTGCCAGCATGGCCACAAGCACTGCCAGCTTACTTTAGGTTTTAGCATGTGAAAAGCCAAAAGGGAAATTCTTTTAATTCTATATTATTCTGTTACTCCAACTAAAAATTAAGAAATAGTTTAAAATATTCTCAAGTCTAAAAAAGCACCACAGAATCTGCATACACCCAAAATATGTTATGCAGATTCTGATTCTGGTAGGTAGATAGCAGCTCAGCTGTCAAAACATTTGCAAGTTTATTTGGTGTTCCAGAAAGATGGAGAGGGTTTTCCAAGATCCAAGATAAATAGGTTTCCACCACGAGGAGTGATTGAATTTGAGATAAGTTTGTCATTGATGTAAGTTTCGTATATATCCTTAAATCACAAGTTTACATAAAGAGCTTTACACCCCCATAATCTTTATAATCTTAATTCTTCCTCTAAAGAAGGGAGGATGATAGAGAAACGACTGGAAAAACCATGTTGTGTATATACAAAGAAAAGCGAAATAAAAAAGTATAATCACTGTTAAAAAGTATGATATAATTGTGGAAACAGGGTTATGTTTTAAAGAGCTGCCACCCTCAATTTCCCAGGTCTGTGGCAGAAGAAAAGCTTCCTCTTTAGCCTAAAATCACCTGTTTCCACTCCTTATTTTGTCTTTTGAAAGATCTTTGCAGAGGTTTTGCACCCAACTAAAGCCTGGCACAAGTAATTTCCCACTGAGAAAAGAGCTTAAAATTCTGTCCCCTTTCAAATGTTTTAAAAACCCATTTTGATGTATACAGTTTCTGCGGTGCCGCTGTTGTCCCCAGGCTTCCTCCTTTACAACCATAATAACAGCCGTGGGAATACTGTTTTTGGACGGATCCTTTGTGAAGTAAACCCTGGAATGATGCTATCATTTTTAAACAACTTTCCCATTTCGCTGCCAGTCATCTGCAGTAACAGACCTGTCTCAACACGCCCCAGATCTGACAAATCAACAGAAACACAGAGTAGTAAGAGACAACCTGTAGCACTGAATTCCCTCCATGCTGGAACATTCAGCTGTAAAATGTTGATTTGTAAGTGCAGAAACTGATGCAGGAGGCTACCTGACCACATGTTACTGTCAAAACTGTAAACTGAACAAACTGGGCATGTTGTTCTTAATGTGAAAGAATAAGTTTTAGAGAAATAACCCTACTGTGAATGCACTATGCCGAAAAGTCACATTTGGACTTGGAATTTTTGTTAAAAACTGGGTGTTTGGTTTACGGATACATTTATTTTAATTGGATGAAAAATGACCAGGATGGAGGTATCAGCATGTTTTACAACATAGCTTCTCTCATGAGGGCACTTTTCAGATAAGTTTGTCAGGTAAATAATGTGAGAGCTGAAATATTTGGAGGGGAGAACATCTCCGCTGCTCACTTTTTCTTGAGTTGTGTCTTTTCTTGGCTGTGAGTCAGAGTCATTTATCACTGAGAAAGCTGGAATCATTCCTTTATTACTGTTAGCCAATGAGTGCAGCATATTTCCCTCGCTGATATGCCGCGCTGTGCTTTTGTGTTTTGTTTTTTTACTAGTTTCTGTTTTTAAAGGTTTGAGCTTTCCTCAGGTGGTGCCCTTTTCTTTGTCAGTTAATCCATAATAGCTGTTGTTGTTAATGCTACCGACTTGTTTTGTCTGATGTATTAATAATCCAAACATTAGTGGAAAGAGTTAACCAGCCAGTAACTGTTTACAACAGTCATGACTGCAGTGTGAATCACAATCGTGTTAAACCAGTTGGTGACGGGGCAACAAAAACAAGATGTAGCTGTGTGAAAACATCAAAGGTGACCTGTTCTGAGAGAGTTTTGCAACTTGGTGTTCTTACACAATTCCAATGAATTTGATGGTACTTTTAGTTGGAAACCCACAACTGTAATATGTGGGAAATTCTCCAAAGTAGAAGTGGGCACATTAAAGCACAAAAAGATTACTCTGTTTATACACTGTATATAAAAGATGGAAGTAGATTTGCATTAGCTGGATAGCTTTTCCCATTTTGATTTTTTTTTTT